GATCTTTGGGAGGAAAAGGGAGAAGAACTGAGGGTGGGAAAAGGCCTTAGAAGGAAAAGGGGGGAAATAAATGATCTCAACAAGGAACTGGGGGGGGGTTCACCAGCATAGGCAACATCCCCAGCATCACTTGCATCATCCGCATCCTTGGCAGGCGCTGATGCGGATGATGCAGGTGATGCTGGCGATGTGCCGCTGGAGCTGCTAAGGATGCGAAAGCGCACCCGGGGGGAATCGAACACCCCAATGTTTTTGACAAACTGAGTTGCGCAAGCCCGCACAATGAACAGATTTAGTGAAGCGTCTTCGAATCACCGCGTGGTACGTGGACCCCCCCCCCCCCACGCAATAGTCTGAAATGCTGCCCCGGGGGAGGGGTTAGGGGAGGGGTAACAGGTAAAGAGGTAAGGAGCATTTCTTATGTCCAACACGCCGCCTGTTGTCGGCGGATTTAAGCGGCGAAAGTCATGGCAGTGGTCTTTTTGGGGAAGCCAACCTGCGTTTATTCCCCTGCTGACGGGCTAGTAATAATGCAGTAGTCATAGTAATAATAATAGTAGTGGTAGAAATAATAGTAATAACAATCGTAATAATAATCGTAGTTGTTTAAATGGTCTTGTGGTGGCTTGAGGCATTTCGGGGCTGCTATAGACATATTTCCGGACTGTTTCGGATTACTTTTTGAACCCTGGGCAGTTCTAATTTTGAAGCTTGAATCTTTGAAAAATGGACGTGCTATCGCTGTTTCTTATCGTAATAATCGTAATAGTAGTATAAATATTAATACTAAATGTATTCATAGTAGTAGTAGTAATAGTGGTGCTAGTAGTAGTTAGTAGTATAAATAGTAGTAGTAGTAGTAGTCGTAGTAGTAGTAATAGTAGTAGAGGTAGTAATAGTAGTAGTAGAGGTAATAGTAGTATTAGTGGTAGTAGTGGTAGTAGTATTAATAGTAGAAGTAGTAGTAGTAGTATTAGTAGTAGTAGTAATGGTAGTAGTAGTAGTATTAGTAGTAGAAGTAGTAGTAGTAGTAGTGGTAGTAATGGTGGTTGTGGTGATGGTGGTATTAAAAATTATATTTTATACATACTAATTGTTATAATAATAATATTAAACATAATAATTGTATTATTAGATGGGTATTTGTTGGGCGGGCGTTTGATGGGTTAGAGTAGTAGTAGTAGTAGTTATATTAATAGTGGTGATAATTACGATTTTGAAATTTGATTTTTTGTAGTAGTAATAGTAGTAATCGTAGTAGTAGTAATAGAAGAAGTAGTAATAGTGATGGTAGTGGTAATAAAAATAGTAATAATATTAGTAATTATAATAATAGTAGAAGTAATAGGATTATTGATAATAATAACAAGATTAATTATTATAATTATTATTATTTTTTTATAAATTGATATTAATATTACATTTCGAAATATTATTTATTTTTTATAATTAATTCTATTTTTTGAATAAATTAATATTTATTATTATTAAAATATAAATATTTTCGAATATTATATTTTTTTTATATACAATTAATATTATTATAAATGGTTTATTTATTAATCCTTAAATAAAACTTACAAATTTTTAATAATACTAATCTTATAAATCCTTTAATTTTCTTAATATCGTTTTTACGATGAGCCTTAAATTTCACAATTATATCTCTTTTCTAATTTCGTATTTTAATAACGATTATTTATAACCCTATATTAAGATATTATATATAAACATATAATTAATTTTAATAATCTTATTAATTATATATTATATTTTCTAAACAATATATATATATATATATTAGAGGGGGTCTACTACTTTTTAGTAGTGTGCGAAATGAAGTCTATAGCAAAAGAATAACAAAATCAAAATATAAAATCAAAAATAATTCCAATTTAAATAATTATAGATAGATATACACAATTATACTCATAAACAAAAACAAACCGAACTAATGCTTAACAAAACACGATTTGGGAATATTTCGAGAAAATAAATAATTACGATTTTGAGTCTTTGCTTTAAATCCTATCTAAATAAAATATATCGAAAGATTATGTATTATTTTAAATTAAATTCTAGAAGCCCAAATATCTAAAAACGAATTGTAAATAGAATTTCTTAATAATACCAAAAAATATATTTCCCAAAGAATTACGATACACAAAACAACAATATCTTTCAGGTGCCCAATATCCCATTTCATCAGTGAAAGAAAATCGCCTAAGCAAAGGAAAATAGACCTATATATTATTAGCCTCAAAAAATCCATCCCCATATATAATTATTGCAATATGTACAAAAATACAATCGACCAAAACATATCTTAAATATAAATAAAACCGAACAAATTTCGTTAAATCGGATTAATTTCGTTAAAATTATTTTAAAAAACATCATCATCTCATTAATTTATAACATCCTAAATTTTATAAATTCACAACAATTAACTTATACAATATCAACTAACTCATAAAACTTAGCCTGTACAATATCAACTTCAAATAAACAAAACAAACAACCAAGCAACCAAACAAACAGACAAACACACAAACAAACAAACAAACAAACAAACAAAAACAACGACACAAACAAAGACAAAACAAACACGAAAACAAACACAAACACAAATACAAACACAAACACACAGACACAGACACAGAGACACAGAGACACACAGACACAAACACACAGACACACAAGCACAAACAGACAGACACAGATAGACAGATAGACAGATAGACAGATAGACACAGAGACAGACAGACACAGACAGACACAGACACAGACACAGACACAGACACAGACACAGACAGACAGACACAGACACAGACAGACACAGACACAGACAGACACAGACACACACAGACAGACACAGACAGACACAGACAGACACAGACAGACACAGACAGACACAGACAGACACAGACAGACACAGACAGACACAGACAGACACAGACAGACACAGACAGACACAGAGACACAGACAGACACAGACAGACACAGACAGACACAGACAGACACAGAGACACAGACAGACACAGACAGACACAGACAGACACAGACAGACACAGACAGACACAGACAGACACAGACAGACACAGACAGACACAGACAGACACAGACAGACACAGACAGACACAGACAGACACAGATAGACACAGACACAGACACAGACACAGACACAGACAGAGACACAGACAGAGACACAGACAGAGACAGACACAGACAGACAGACACAGACAGACACAGACAGACACAGACAGACACAGACAGACAGACACAGACAGACAGACAGACAAAGAAACAAATACCAGACACAGAGAGACCAACAGACAAAGAGAAACAGAGAAAGACACCGACAGAGAGACAGAGACAAAAAGAGACACACCTCCGGCGCGCAGCGTACCGGATTCTGATGTCGACATGCCACAGGCTTCGCTTGCGCACGTGCATGCGTCCGACTCCGAGCCCGAGAGCTGTGATACACGGGCTGCAAGAACGCGCGTGCGAGCTCTCGGCTGCGCGTGCCCCAATTGTCCCCTGGCGCCCACGCCTAGTGGAGCGAGCTAGTGGGAAACGGTTTGTCACGCGCTTGTCTCGGCGTTGCCCCGTGTCTCCCGCGGCCAGGAGGTGGTTGCAGGACTGGGCTTCCCGGGTTGCTACCGGCCTGGTTTGGATTGGTTGTTTGGATCGGTGTTTTGGAGGTTAGGGGATGGTTTCCTATTCAACTTCAACATGATCCAGGAGTTTAATCCCCAAACCACCAATCTAAGCCAGCAATTAGGGTAAGTTGAGGCGGGTGCCAAAAAAGGGCCAAGCTCTCAGGCGCCAAGATCTTATAGAGTCCGCGCCGGCAAGATATTTTTTGCAACTCAGGCACCAACATATTTTATCATCTTATATATATCAAAAAATGTATACTCGTCGCATGCGAAAAGATGTTGCCGTTCTCCAAACACAGGTCGCGAGACGTACAGAGGGCCGGGCTGGTCGCGATAAGGTCATGCCAAAGAGTTAGTGAAAGGCGGTCGCCTAAGCAAGGATCCGTAGGCTGTTAGCCTCAAAAAATCCATCCACACACGCAGTTATTGCAAGCACAAGCGAAAACGCGATTGACTAGAACACATCCTAGGTGCAAGCAAAGCCGAACGGATTGCCCAAAGCATAGGAAAAAATACCATTAGTCATAACAATCGGCCGCGGCTCACAATTTCGTAACAATCGGCCGCGGCTCACAACTTCTCGCATCGCTAAACTCTTGGAACGTAGGCCAAAATTTCAGCCAAAATTGCTATAGACAAGTAAATATATGCCCCGACTCTTTATCTAAAAAATACAACGACTTCGTTCAACGACTACGGATAGGGAGATATATGCCTAAACTCTTAATCTAAAAAACACAACGACTTGTTTCAAAGCCCGAACCAAAATATCCCGAATGTTTCGATAATCGTACTCCAAACCATTTTTCAAAAATATTCCGGATATTTCAACGATAGCATTTCCCAAAATATTTAGAATATTTCGGGAAATTAATCCCCACAAAAAATGAAACCACTATATCTTCCGCACATATGCCGGACAAATTTAAGCAAACAATCCGTAACAAATATAAAACGGTTACATCTTCCAAAAACAATCCAAACCAATTTTCCGAAATATCCGGGATTTTTCGGAAAAACGGTCCGGGAAAACGCGCACAAATGCGACGAGCAAGTTTCATGATTTCGTTTTATAGAGTAAATATAATTCCATTATATATAATATTCCCACATTCATAAATATTAAATTAAGAAAACATCCCCTTTTTCCACCAAAAAAATATCAACACAAAACACCAAATATTTAACTAACACCATATAATATAATATTGAATAAATCAAGACCTTTAGCTAAATATCATCAACCTCAATTATACAACCCATTTTATTATAGGTTATAGGACTCAATTCAATCCGGTCAATTAACATATCTTATACATCAATATATGGCATTTTAGGTTGCGCAATTGTTTCTCGCTGCTTTGCAGGTCTTTCAACGGGATGGCTGTAATCGCAGAGCCTCTGCCACCAGGTTAAATATAGCTACATATAATTTCCAGAATAAACAGCTGCCGATGTTCAGCGAGCTAAAAATTATCGTGCACGCGATCTTGTCGCGAGACCGTCCACTCAGCCACTCTCCTGCACTTCAGATTCGTTCAGTGATACCAATGACCATGTATGCAGAAAACCACTCTTCACTGGACCACTTTCTGCTCCTTACACCAGACCACGCAAGCTAAAAAGCAGCTTCCGAGTGCACCGTTTGACAATGTTTGGACCATGGACCTTTCTCAATGGCCGGCTGCAATTTGGTTGCCCTTCAGGCCCAACGATGTACAATGTATGAATGATCAGATTGTTCAACGCACCCTTCACCAAATCTACGGATCTGGAGCCCATACTCCCAAACCTGCCCTGCTAATTCGTTCCGATCACAACAGGCATACTCCAAAGTCCAAGGGGTGGAGGGTCATATCTTGTCAGCGAAAATTCTACCTGTTTGACCTGCTGCTCACGAACCTCCTGGCTTCTCTGATTGCTACAGGCGTTCCTCTCAACAAGGGTCAACAAACAAAGCTCGGCTCCTCATGAACGCGGCTGCCTTTGAGATCCTACCACAGCCGCCCCTTGCGGTGCGAGCGAAGGACCGCGGAAATCCGAAAAGAACTTCTCAGCCTCAGCCAAGGAAACGCCTGGGTGGCTGAACTCCACCTCCCTTGGTCCGGTCCTTGGGGAGAAGTCGCAGGCGTGAGCCTTGGGGAAGCGCAGAACCAGCTGCACCTGACGACTTGGTCCAAGAACCAATGGTACCATTTTTGGATAGCTGCACCACCCATTTTAGTGTTTTTTAGTGGGGATTGGGATGTTCACTGGGGGTGCGGGGTTTCGACCCATTGCCACTTCTGGCCAAAGGTCCGAGCTTGCAAAGGTCCGAGCCAAATGGTCAGGTTGAATGTCCAGGGAGGTTGTTCTTGGCTCAGGCTCGGAGGATACATCCAAACATCTGCTGGACCGAAACTGGACCAAAACCAGAAGGCCGAAAGGTTGAGTGTCTTTGGGCAAGGGAAGCAATCCAAATGGATTCCATTCAGAAGCACTGGCAAAACAAGGGTCTCCAAAAAAGCGGCCCTTGTCTCAAACAGCGAATCCACGTCCAAAGCAAACCACATCTTCGAAGAGTGGATGTAGGAACGATGTATGAGTCTGGATAGTAAATAGAGGGTCCTATCTCCTTGTGGCTTCATCTTTGTGAACAAACATGTCAGGTGTCAATCACCCGAAAAAAAAAACAATAGGCGGGCTTCATGTCAAAACAAGGGAACGGACATGAAACTAACATTTGACTGCCACACCACTATAGAATGGCGGCCATGTGCTACTTCCCGAAGCCAAGCACGGCAACTCAACATATACTCATTTTAGGATGTAAGTGCAGCCACTGCAACTGAATGTCCAGGATGCCAAGAGTCGTGGTTTAAGAGCTCTGGGGGCAAGTTTGTATTCTCCTTTCAATTTGCTGGCACTGCAACACATCAGCAGTCACCGCTTCCCTTGGAAATTGAGAAGGGGACACAACACAACCAAAGCAAACGGAAGATCCGCAGCCTTCGTAGAGTTGTCCACCTCGGAGACGTTCAGAAGACTCTCAAAGAGGCAGGGCAGGTCGTGCCGCTGCCTCGTGGTCCGTTAAGGCATCCCTTTTGATCAACGCTGTGCTTCAGAAGCTCGAAACTGGTTGGCCACAAACAACTGGGCAATGTTGGACACACGTTTTGACCACACAATTCCATATGTACATATGCACACACACATATATATATATATATTTGTATCTACATATATATAATATACATATAGATATATGTATTGCACATACTTAGAATTCATACACTTGAACTAGGTGCTTGCACAAGGTGTTGACCGAGGAACCAGCTTGTTCCCGCGCCGGTGATGACATATGATTGACCTGTGTTTTGAGAAGAATCATATATCCATCGCTCAAGCGATGTTTTCCTATCAGTGGTGGAGTTGTTTGCTTGGCAAACAACGAGTTTGCTTGCTTTTTTTACATTTATATACTATCATAGAAGCAACGCATGATGCAAAACAGCGAGAACCGACCTAACCATCCAAATATTAGTTCGACTTTCCCACCATATACTACCCAATATCTGATGCTGCAGCAAAGCAAACTCCGGGGCATCTTCAATTGTGTGGTTTCATACTAAAGGGGTTCCGATTTTGAGCCAAAGCCAAATCTGCGACACGTGATCGGATGACTGTCGTCGAAAACAGCGTGGCCTTTTCGGAGTGACAAGCACAAAGGGCACTCAGCAACTCTGCACCCAATGTTTCCTACATCAAAGGGGTGGGCAAAGCAAAAAACTGAGTTCAGGGCCTCCAAAATGAGGGACGCTGCAGCCTTGTGTTTCGGATACATGTTTTTGGGAAC